GAAAAAAAAAAGTTTCTGGACATTTTAGAAGTAGAAATGAAAAGGAAATAACTAAGTGCAGCGTACAAAAGAAGTTAAAAGTGATTCAGCATACTGCGAAGCGATGCGTATCTTTAACGAAGCAATGCGATTCCAGTCAGCTATAAACAACGTTGTGGAGCAACGGAGGCCAAAACCAGCAATAAAATTGTTTAATGAAGCGGGAGTCAACAAAGAGCACCAAAGCAATGAATGCAAAAGTCTTTAGTGGCTGAAGGGATCTATTCGAACAATTATACGAAACTGCGTGTTTGCGATAGTTCAGAATCAAGGAAAACAAGGAAAAATCAAGGAAAAAAAAGTGAGGGGGAACAGAAACGCTGGGTTGAAACAGTGATTTTTCAAGGTATGCAAATTACAGCGCAAACCAACCGTCCGTAGAACGTGAATAAATTTTTCCGTGCTGAAAATATTGCCATAGTAACAGGGATTTCTACGATGAACACATAAGGCTCGTTTCTGGAACACCGTCCTGAAGCAGTAAACGTACAGAGGCGATAAAGCAAAACCTTGAAAGTCTTGAAACTATGAAAGCACAAGAGCGTACTCGAAAAAACTTTTGATAGAAAACGGCCGGATAAGCCACTGGAAGGCATCCAGACCATTGTGCACCGAATCCTCTGCTTTTGAAAACGGCATCTTCTCAAAATCAATCGTTGCGGTTTGTGTTCTTTTGTCTATGCTGCCACAAACGGTACAAAATTCACTGGTCCCGTCACCCATTTTGTTCTGTGAAGCAGCAAACTGTTCTATAAGCGACAGACAATATGAGTTAAAAAACGAGCAAAACATCCCGAAATCAGTGAGCAGTTCGTGAACAGCATGCATACTACTGGGTGGGCCGAAAAGCACACTCTCAGTTTTTAAATTTTTCATGCAAAATCTTACCGATCATTTCCTAATGGCACTTCGACCAAGACTGGTTGCAGTGCACAGTTCTATTCTCTAAGTAAAAAGTTAGCGAGTTCTGCATCTGTTCGATAGCTCGCTAACGATGCATCCTGATAAAAATACCC